ACTATGTAGTTGAGACTGACCTGGAACTCACTATGTAGCCCAGGCTGGTCTCGAACTCACAGTGATCCTCCTGCCTTAGCCTCCTGAGTGCTGGGATTACAGGTGTGTGCCACCATGCCCAGTTTATATACATTTTCTTTACCCATTCATTTGTTGATACATCCTAGGCTGGTTATGTATCTTGGTTATTGTGAACTGTACGCCCCAAAACATGGATATATAGGTATTCTTTTAGTATGCTGAGTTTAATTTCTTGAGGAATACATTAACGAGTGGTATAGCACGACCAAATGGTAACCCTACCTTTAGGTTTTTGAGAAGCCTCCACACTGATTTTCATAGGGGCCTTGTATCAGCTTTCTGTTGCTGAGATCAAAGACTCGATATATACATTTTAAAGGAAGAAGGGTTTATTTTTACTTATGGTTTCATAGGCTTTAGTCTATGGTTGGATGGTTCCAAAACAAAAACATGAAGTGGATGGTGGAGCAAGAGAGAAAGAGGCCATGCATCATGCCAAGGTCACAGTTCCAAGACCCATCCAGGCATGCAGAGTATGCTTTACTATTCCCTAGGTGGCTCCCAAGCCAAATGAGTTGGTAAATTAAACTTAACCATAATAGGGCTGTAACACTTTACATTCCTATTGCAGTGTAGAAGAAGCCTCTCTTCCCCATCCTCACCAGCATTTAATTTTTGTATTCTTGATGACAGCCATTCTGACTGGGATGAAATGGAATCAATGTCATTTTGATTTGTGTTTCTCTAACAGTTAAAAATGTTGAACATTTTTTTCACAGACTTATTAGACATTTATGCTTTTTTTTTGGTGTGTGTGGTACTGGGAATCAAAGTCAGGACCTTGCATTTGCAAGGCAGGCACAGTGCCACTGAGCTAAATCCCTGGCCCGACATCTATACTTCTTTTGAGAAGTGTCTGTGAACTTCCTTTGTTCATTTATTGACTGGGCCATTTGATGTTTTTGTGTTGATTTTTTGAATTATTTATATATTCTAGATAGCAATTCTCTGTTGGAAGAGTAGCTAGCCAAGATTTTTCTCCCATTCTGTAGGCTGTATCTTCACCGTTAGCTTTTTTCCATGCTATGTAGAAACTTTAATTCAGAGTAGTCCCATCTGTTGATTCTTCCTATTAATTTTTTTGGCTATTGTAATCCTATTCAGGATGTCTTTGCTTGTCCTTATGGTGCTTCCCCTATGTTTTCTTCTATAGTTTCAAAGTTTCAAGTCTTACCTTGTTCTCTGATTTGTTCTGGATTGATTTTTGTACAGGATGACAGATAAGAATCTAAAGTCAGTCATCTATAAATGGGTAGTTTTCCCAGCACCATTTGTTAAAGAGGCTGTCTTGGGCTGGGGATTTAGTTCAGTGGTTCCACCGCCTGCCTGGCAAGTACAGGGACCCGAGTTCAATCCTCGGTACCAAAAAAAAAAAAAAAAAAAAAAAAAAAAAAAAAAAAAAAAAAAAAAAAAAAAAAAAAAAAAAGAGGCTATCTTTTCTCAAAGGTATATTTTTGGCTCCTTTGTCAAGAATCAGATGGCTGTATGGGCTTCTTCCTGTGTTCTTTGTTCTATCCCTTTGTTCTATGTGTCTACATTTACACCATGCTGTTTTACTATTTTTAGTATATTGTTTACTCTTTTTTTGGTACCGGGTAATCAAACTCTGGTCCTTGTGCTTGCAAGGCAGGCAGTGGAACCACTGAGCTAAATCCCTGGTCCCTATTTTTAGTATATTGTTGTAGTAGGATTTTGTAGTATTTTGCAGTATATTTTGTAATTTTTATTGCTTTGTAGTGTAATTTGAAATTGGGTATTGTGATCGTCTAGCCTTGCATAGGACTGCTTGACTTATTCTGGGTCTTTTGTGTTTCCATATGAATTTTAGGATTGTTCCTATAATTTTGTGAAGAATGTCACTGGAATTTTGATTATGACTGCATTGAATCTGTGGATTGCTTTTTGTAATGTGGCCATTTTAGTACTATTAATTCTGTGGATCCATGAACATGGGATGCCTTTCTATCTTCTAGTGTCTTCTTCAATTTCTTCCTTCAGTCTTCTGTAATCTTTATTTTAGAGGTGTTTGACTTCCTTAGTTAGAGTGATCCCTAGCTATTTTTTTGGGTGGGGGTGTAGTTGAATGGAATGCTTTTCCTGATTTTTCTCATGTAGTTCATAATAATATAAGAACAATAAGTTTATAGAAAAGTTCTTGACTTTTTAATGTTGACTTTAATCTTGTTGAGTGCATTATTTTTGATAAATTTTAAATTTAGAATCATTAAGATTTATAGACAAATTGCAAAGACAGTGTACATAACACAAAATTTCACTCTCATTAACATCTTACATTTGTGTGGTATATTTGTTATAATTTATGAAATAATATTATTATATTATTATTAATCAGCCCATACTTAATTCAGATTTCATTAGTTTTTTCCTAATATCCTTTTTTCTCTTCTAGGATCACACTCAGGACATAACATTTCATTTAGTTGTCATATCTTTTTAGGCTTCTCTCGGACTTTTCTCATTTAATAATAATGTGATCTTTTATTTATTTGTTTTTATTTTTTGAGACAGGGTCTCACCACGTAGTTCAGACTACCCTGCAACTCACTATGTATCCCAGGCTGGTCTTGACCTCACAGTGATCCTCCTGCCTCAGCCTCCAGAGTGCTGGGATTACAGGCATGCACCACCATGCCTAGCTAATAATAATCTGATCTTAATAATCAGTTTTGAAAAGTATTGATTTTGTTGGTCCTTAAGGTAGGATTTGTTTGATTTTTTTTTTCAAAATTAGATGAGGTTATGGGATTTGGGGAGTAAGACTACAGAAGAAAAGTGCCATTCTTATCAAATTCTTTACAGGGTGCACACTGTTAACATGATATATCTATCCCTGTTGATACTGATCTTGATCATGTGATTGACATAGTACTTGTGGTATTCTAATGTTGCTTATTTAACTTTAAAAAAGTTCTTTCCAGACTCTTATATAGAATATATAAAGAACTCAAAACAATCAGCCCCCCCAAATATAAAGACCCAATTCAGAAATGGGTATCTGAAATGAACAGACATTTTTCAGGTAAACCAGTAAAAGTCCCAAATAAATATATGAAAAAATGTTCCACATTACTGGTCATTAGAAAGATATAGATGAAAACAACACTGAGATTCCGCCTCACCCCACAAAGAATGGCTGCTATCAAGAAATCACACAATAACAAATGTTGGCGGGGTTGTGGGGAGAAAGGAACCCTTCTCCGTTGTTGGTGGGAGTGCAGGCTGGTGCAACCACTATGGAAATCAATATGGAGATACCTCAAAGAGCTGGGACTAGAGGTTCCATTTGACCCAGCCATTCTTGTGCTGGGTGTCTTTTCAAAAGAATTAAAAGAATCCTATCACAGTGATATATGCACACCCATGTTTATAGCGGCACAGTTTGTAATAGCTAAAACTTGGAAACAGCCCATTTGCCCAACAGTTGGAGACTGGATATAGAAGATGTGGTTTTTCTATAAAATGGAATAATACTCAGTCATAAAGAATGAGAAAATAGATTTATACATAGGAAAATGGATACATACTGAGGCCATACTCAAGTGAAATAAATAAGTCACACATGTGTAAATACTGAATAGTTTCTCTGGTATGAAAAACTAAAAGTGTAAATAAGATCCAAACTGTATAACTGATAATGTGAAATAGGAAGAAAAGGGGTAAAGGTGTAGAGGAAGTGTGAAGGGTAGGGGAAAGGAAATAAGGGAGAAGAAAAAATATGAAAAAAGGAAAAAATAGAAGCAAAGTCTCTGTAAATAGGGGAGGATGGAGGGGGTGAAGGGAGGTAAGGG